TATCTGTTAGAGTCTATCCCACATCGAAAGTTGAATAGAAAAGTAATTGGTATATAAGCTCTTGAGTTCAACTAAGTAATCGATTGGATTCAATTGCTTAATTTGGTTCAGCTCAAGTGTTTTATTACCGAATCCAGTTATCTTAAGCCCATCCTAAATTCTATTGATATCTTTCCATAGTGATTAGGAGAAGGGAGTGAGGGGCGGGCATGGTACGGTATGTGACGGCATTTAGCTCGTCCCGATACCATAGCAATTTTCTCAGTTCGATATGGGATTTTACGTCGTACTGATTTCGATCTCGAAATATCTGTTCGGGATGGTTCGGTATCAGCTTCAGTACAAATCGTGATGGATACATACATATATTACTTTACATTTAAAAATGTAACAAGACCCTTTGTTTTTGAAAAATCAAGTGTATTTAAATAAAGCAACATATAAACTGAAAAATGACTATTTAAAATACAAGAAATGCTTATGAATCTCTATTTATATTTCACAAACACAAGAGAAATATGAGAACAAAATAGTATTTCACATGTTTCTTAATGTTGTTATATTTATCAGAAAATTAGAACTCAAATAAAGTACAATCCACACATAATAAAACTTGAACCGAATTTTCAAAATAAACTTATTACATAATGAAGAAATATAAAAGATTAATTTATTTATAATATATTAATATATATGTTAGGTTTTGGATTTTTGATATGGGAAGTTACCACGTACCGCTCTCAAATACCGAACCAAGTTCGTTTTTTTTGGTATTTTTTGGATCAAATTTTGCGGTTTTTTGGGAAATTTTGCGATCGGTTCGGTACTTGCTCACCTTTTTACCGTAGTCAGAAAATGCATGTGTCATCTTAAATTTATTACTTGTACATTGTATTTTCTGATGGCATAATACTTTCCAAGCCTTCAATTTTTAGCCTTTTCGCAATTCTTGTTGGGTCTGGATTGAATGCAATAATGCTAAGTTCTTTCTTAAATAGCATTTTTCATTGCTTCTGCGGAACAATGCAATAGTTCTCAAGAAAAACTTCTTTTTAATATGAAGTTCTTCAATTAGAAATACTACAATCATTATTCGTTCATATCTCTCAATTGCTATAGAAAATAGTTGCCTCCTAATATTTTGCAAATTTTTTCCTTTGTTTTTTATGTACTTTCATACTCTATATCTTTATCTTATTGGATTCTTGTTTTGTGTTGTATTGTTTTATATTCAAACAGGCTTTTTCTGGACTTGATGCGGGAATTTCACGACGAGCTAGATTTTTGGGTAATACAGCATTGGATGCTGCTCTAAATGCCCAATTTTTTGTTCAGATAGGAATATTCACTGCAGTACCAATGATCATGGGTTTTATACTTGAAAAAGGTTTGCTTAAGGTAGTTTCTTTTAGCACCTTTTCATCTTTTAATTGCTTTCCTGTTTGATTGAAGGTTCTGTTATTATATCGATACTGTGCATATGCTTATTCTGGCTTTTAAGTTCTCTATTATATTATTGCAGGCTGTTTTCAGCTTCATTACTATGCAGTTGCAGCTTTGTTCTGTCTTCTTCACCTTTTCTTTAGGGACCAGAACCCATTATTTTGGACGTACAATCCTCCATGGTGGTGCAAAGGTATGAAAAAAAGTGTTTTGAGATCATTTTGAATGTTGAAAATATGTACTATGATATTGAAATATCTTTTTTGATCTCTAGTACCGTGCCACTGGAAGAGGATTTGTTGTTCGGCACATCAAATTTGCAGAGAACTATAGGCTCTATTCTAGAAGTCATTTTGTCAAAGCGTGAGTCGTGTTCAATTCTATTGCAATAATAAATCAATAAATGCTTGATATTATTTCATTCCTATCTCTTTCTTTAGTTATAATGTTGATGTTTTTTAACACTTTGCAGGCTTGAAGTTTCTCTACTTCTAACAGTTTACATTGCATATGGATACACGAAGGGAGGTGCCACCTCATTTATCCTATTGACTCTCAGCAGTTGGTTCCTTGTTATATCATGGCTATTCGCTCCTTATATCTTCAATCCATCTGGATTTGAATGGCAGAAGTAAATATTCTACTATCTGAGAGTTTTATATTAAGAATTTTTTTACTTTCTTTGTCATCAAAGTTTAAATGTTACATTTGATATCTAATTGTAGGACTGTCGAGGATTTTGATGATTGGACCAGTTGGCTATTATATAAGGGGGGAGTAGGTGTGAAGGGAGATAATAGCTGGGAATCTTGGTGGGATGAAGAACAGGTACGTTTTTTGTGTAACTTAATCAGATTTTAACTTATGTGTCTTTATCCCTGCATGATGGAGTCTATCTGTTTTCCACTTTTCTTTGTCAGAGAGAACATATTGCAACTTTACACGGGATGCATTTTGTTTTCTTTATTGTTTTTTGGCATAGCTCCCGTTTTTTTCAGATTTGTTGTAATTCATCCATTTTGTATGCCAAGTTTACCTCTGTAGCTCAATTGAATCACATTTTTACCTTTTAAAGAGCTTCTGACTGGTAGTTTAAGCATTCTGTATTTATTTGTTCTATTAGGTTAGACGTAGAATATATTCCTCTGATGGAATTTGATAATGTGTTTTCCTTTTGTTTAGTTTGATAAGAATGAAGGATGTATGCGTCCAAGTTTTTAACATTAGTCAATTGCCAGCCACCTAGTTTTTACTTCCCTTCCTCTCTTACCTAGTTACTAGTTAGATAACTATAGAAGATATGTAACATAACCTCTTTCCCTCTACTTCTATGATATTTCAAAAATGATTGGCCCTGAGGGTCAGGTGATTGCTTTTATCTTTTGGATGTTAGTTATCTTTTTTTTGTCCTGGCCTATTTGATGTATGTCTCGTTTCTGTCTCTAAAACCCAAATACATATTGTGCAGATGCATATTCAGACTTTGAGAGGCCGGATACTTGAAACAATTTTAAGCTTGAGATTTTTCATTTTCCAGTATGGCATTGTTTATAAGCTGCACTTGACAGGGAAAGACACCTCTCTAGCGGTATGGTGTTCTTCATCACTCTTGATTTTTTTTACGTATCTATTTCACATATGGCACAAAGACAAATGATTCATTTTCCAGAATGGTATTGTTTAAAATGCTGGATATACATGAAGGTGTATGGGGCAGGCAAACTCATTCACTTCAAGAAGGCGTATGTACTATGACACATAGATCAGAGATGAAATATAGATGCACACACTTGATCTAATTCCATTTTCATATGATCCCTTCCAATTTCCAAATAAACCCTTAAATAAAAAAAGAAAGAAATTTTGGAATTGCCAGAGACAACTTGATTATTTACCTATCTGATGTGCCATTTGGCTCTAATTTTAAAAACTTCTTTTAATGGATTCTGTAGATTCTCATCCTAGAATTAGCTGAGTGTTTCATGTGTTTTAGATTCTGAAAGAATCAGTTGCTGATTCTGCTTTCTAGAATTTGATTTTTTGAAGTTTATCCACTACTTGATTCTCCAGAATCAGGCACTCAGCTAGTTCTGAAATCGCTGTTTCAGAACATAGTTTGTAAGGCGGTAAGGCGAGGCAAGGCGCCAATATACCTTCATACTGCCTAGGCGACTAGGCGGACGCCTAGGCGACCTATATATATATTATATATATATATCTAATATATATAAATATAAATATAAATATATATATATATATATATATATGGGATTGACTCCAGTCAGATGACATCTTTCGGTCAGATGACACTTTCGGTCAGATGACATGCTTCAGAATGAGCACCACCTTGCTTGAGAATGAGCACCACCTTATTTCAAAATGAACACTAAATTGAGCAGACTGTGAATGAGTACTAGGTTGTTTCAGAATGAGTACTACGTTTATAAAGAACAAATGTGTGAAAGTCAACCCTACGATGTCTTAGAATGAACACTACGTGGATTCAAAATGAACCCTATGTTGTTGTCTCGCTGGCTATGAATGAACACTACATTGTGATGAACAGTTGTGTGAGAATGAATCCTACGTTGTTTAAGAATGAGCACTACATTGATCCAGAATGAGCATTCGTTGTCATCTGTCCGAAAGTGTCATATGACCGAAACATGTCATCTGACTTGAGTCAATCCCTATATATATATATATATATATATATATATATATGGCACAACATACCACAATATTATAAATAATAAGGTAAACATATGAAACAAAAGTCCACACATAATCTGAAAAAGAAAGAAGGGTTCACAAACATTTAGAAGATTACATATAAAAACACAATTCAAAACAAAAACACAATTCAAAACAAGTTCATCTCCATCCCTATGGTTTAATTAACCAAACATGCATGTTTAAAAATTATCATTGAATAGGTCATTCATATGGATATCATTATTTGTATCCATAGACTCATCCTGGACAGTAGATAAGTCAAGACCATAGTCATCCTCAATCTGCTCATCATCATTTGGAAATGGTTCAACATCAGTATCTGTGTTTCCCAACTCTTCATCAATCACTGCCAAGGTAGAAGACAAAGTAGCAGAAGTAATAGTAGTACGACGTCGAGAAAAAGTTATCACATCATTAGGAGACCTTGACGCGTTTGATGTCGTTACACCTCTTCTACTTGAAGTACGACCATCTAGATTGTTGGTTGCACCAATCGCTTCATCCACATGTGACCATAAGAGATCATCTCCAGAATGCACCACTTCAGCATTATCGTCAACCCACTCATTGTCCCACTCATAGTTATGAATGGCGAGTGGCGGGCGAGCGGTTGTTTTTTGTGGCGAGTGGCGTGGCGAGTGGCGGGCGGTCAAATGGCGAACCAAAAAAAGCGAACATATACATACATACATACATACATACATACATATATATATATATATATATATATATATATATATATAAAATGCATGGCATATGAAAAAGTATTAAACAATATATAATTGTCAAAGAAAAACAAAACATCTTGCTGGTACCAGAAAACAAACATTATAAAGTTATTAGGCATAAAACATTAGAAAATATAGTAGTAATCTAGAAAACTTAATCATAATCTTCCCATTCCTCCTCACTCAAAACCAAAGCATCATCATTTGGTGTACTGCTTGCACCAACGAGTTCACATTCTTCTCCATAATCTTCATCCTCAACATCATCATCATCCTCATCAATAAGTTGCCGCGTGTTGAGAGGTCTTTTCGAATGTGTTTGTGGAGTAGCATCTGTGGAAGCACTTGAACCATTCTTTCCTTGCCTTCGGGTATAGTAGATCGGCTCTTCAGCTCCAGATGCTCTAGATACATCACGGACGGGTATTTCATTAATGGTCTCCTCTGAGCATTCCTCACCTAGCAACCACTCGTTACAATCATCTATGGTTGTCAATATTATCGGATCGATCACATCCCGCATTTTGTGGCGCCTCATAAGAGCTCTGTTATACTTGACAAATACCAAGTCATTCAACCTAGCTTGGTCCAATCTATTTCTCTTCTTGCTATGCACCTGCCATGTTAGACTTATAGGTATGAGCTGTTACACAATATACCTGAATACCTGCTCCTGCGAGGTGCGAGTCTGAGAGGTTGAAGAACTGGGAGGTTGACTTCCGATTTAGCAGCGCAGACTTCAGATCAGAGTTTCAGAGAGGGAGGAGAACCGACTTTGGCAGGGAGTATATCGGCGATGAGAGACGGAAGATTGGAAGAGGATGGCATCGATCGATTAAGGTAATAGTTAACCTACTTAAGGGTAATGGATCCAATTATTTAATTTCAAATGGGCTTAAGCCCAATTAACTTTTAATTAACGCCAGATCTGACTGGCGACTTTAGCGCTCGCCACACGCCATAGGCGACTGTTAGAATGGCGACCGCCTTTTCTCGCCTCAAGAATAACGCCATGCAGGACCCAATTCAGGCGTTTCAGCCTCGCCACAGCGCCATAGGCGACCATGGCGAACGCCATTCATAACTATGGTCCCACTGAAACTCCTCTAAGTCCAAAGGATTGTAATTACTAGATTTAGCTTCCCGCAGTTTTTGAAACCGTGTCTCAATCTTTCGATTATATTGGACATATACTAGATCATTCAACCTTTGATGCTCAAGTCTATTTCTTCTTTTTGTGTGGATCTAAAAAAAGAAGTAATTTTAATTAAAAAAAATCAAATTTAAAACTTCATCACTTGTAAAATTAACTTCTATATTACTTACAAATTCAAAGGTGCTCCAATTGCGCTCACATCCAGAAGAGGAACAACACAGGCCAACAATACGCTTTGCAAATATTTGGAGTTCTCGAGCTTCATTGCCAAAAGCGTCCCACCAATCCACTACTATATGTTGAAATATTAAAGTAAAAATTATGAACATCTTCTAAAAATACCCAAATACGAAGTAACTTGGACTTACTTGTGTTCTTTGTTTTGTGTTGCTTCATTGTCAACGGTTTTCCAAATGTACCTCGCATAGCATGGTAATCATCTGCCTGATTACTGATTTTTTGTTGCACTGCATCATCGACTACCATCTTCTCCAGGACATCATTAAAATTAGCTCTAAGACTGCTTGCTTTATCACCATTTTCTGTTTTTATGTCATAATACCTGCTAGGACATAAAAACAGAGCAGCCCCATACAATTTCTGCCCCATCTGATCTTGCCAACAATCCTCAATAATAGTAATCATTTTGTTTAGCAACACTTTCTTGTTTTGAAAAGCCTCTGTGATCTTCTTTTTTGCCATATCCATTGCTGGCATCACCTCTGTAATAGCTGGTCTTTCATCACCGTCTACAATCCTCAACACAACAAGAAGTGGTTGCGATGCACGTATGCAATCCTCAACTGTATTCCAAAATCGAGTTGAAAGCACGATGTCTTGAACTCTTTTCCCAGCCTCTGTTTTGGCCAACTTAGACCTGTTCCAATCCTCGCACACAAACAAGCCTCTCAACGCATCTTTATGTATGTACATACAGCGTAAGGTGAGAAAAGATGTTGCAAATCTTGTAATGCCAGGCCTCACGAGGTCTCTCCCACCTGTTTTCTGTCTCATGGCATCGAGTAATCGACCATGCCTGTAGATGAATGTGGTGACCCGCTTTGCATTAATAATCTGGCCCTTGAAATCACTCAATTTACCAATGTCTTCAAGCATGAGGTCCAAACAATGAGCAGCACAAGGCGTCCAGTATAATTTAGGATACCTTTGCATTAGTAATTTCCCTGCTGCCTTGTAGTTGGACCCATTATCTGTGACGACTTGAACAACATTGTTTGGCCCAATTTTCTCAATCTGCTTTTCCAACAAGCCGGCCAACATGTTTGCATCGTGCGACTCACTTGATGCATTAATAGATTCTAAGAAAAAAGTTCCAACCGGGCTATTAACAAGAAAGTTAATCAAATGCCTTCCCTTTCGATCGGACCACCCGTCAGACATAAGAGTGCATCCTGTCTCTTTCCAAGCTATCTCATGTTTTTTTTGTAACTTTTTTGTCTCTTCTTTAGCTTTTTTGAGAAGAGGAACCCGCAGCTCATAACTTGACGGAGGTTTAAGTCCGGGACCATATTGGCCTATGGACTCAATCATGATTTCAAAGCTTCTAGAGTTTGCTGCATTGAAGGGTATGCCATTCTCAAAATAAAAATTGGCTATGTGCATATACACCCGATCTTTCTCTTCCTTACTTCGTGTGCATTCTTCCAATGTTTGTTGTGTTGAGCCTTTAGCATGCCGTTCTGCAACAACTTCTTCAGGACTCTTTTGAAGCATTGCCACAACTGTCTTGTTTTGTTTTGGTGGTGGTGGTGATGCAATTGTGAACATCGCCTTCTTCCTTTTCATTGATGTTCCTGAGCTAGGGTGAACAGATTCTGCAGAAGAGACATTTGATCTCAGCCTTACTTCTCCCTCATCATCACCATCAAGGCCATCTTCATTCAATATCAAAGTCTTATTTCTCTTATTAGCTAACAAATAATTTCCCATCTCTTGCCTAATTGGTGTTGTAGTTTTTGGACAGATTGTAGTGTCATCATAACCACCTTTGAGATGTTGCTTCAATCTCTTGATTCCTCCACGCAAAACCTTATCACATAGCTTGCATTCAATTGCATCCTTGTTTGTGAGGTCTGGCCAAAAGGCATATTTCCACCCTGGGTCATTTGATTTAGCCCTGTGGTCAGGATTGTCTCTTGGTTCAATAGTTTCTGCCATGGATGACTGGGAGGTGTGAGAGCTGATAGGCGAGGGGCCTGGGATTCTGGTAAGCCAAGAGTCGATTAGGTGAAGGAAGAGAGAGATACGGCTCAACTTACCAGTTTAAGAGAGAGATATTGTCCTCAAAGAGAGAGAGAGAGAGAGAGGGAGGGAGGGAGAGAGAGAGAGAAAACTACTGAGACAGAGACGAGAAGATTGAGGGACAGAAGACTGAGACGATGCAACTTACCAGAAGAAAGTGAGTCGGCAGATCTGGAATGGGAAGAGGCTCTTGATCGAGCCTAGAGATAATTTAAGTTAAATCTTCTTAAACTCTTTAAAATAGACTTGCAAAATACTTGGGCTGCACTAAAAGAAAATGGGCTAAACTTAAAGGATGGGATGCACTAAAAAAAATAGGCTGCACTAAAAAAATTGGGCTTTTCATAATTTTGAAGTGACCCAAGGCGTCAAGGCGAGAAAGGCGACATAAGGCGAGGTAAGGCAACGCCTAGGCAAGCGCCTGACCGCCTTAGGGTTTTCTGGGCGAGGCGAGCAACCAAGGCGAGCATAACATAACGCCTTAGCGCCTAGGCGACGCCTAGGCGACGCCTTACTAACTATGTTTCAGAATTAGCCAAAAAGAAAAATGAAGCCAATTGAGCTCTTAATTTTTAAAGATTCTATTCTCTACCTTTAGTAGGTAGAGGGGTTTAGATTGATTTCATTAGCCATGTCCTATAACCAAAATGTTGCTTATACAGTTCTTTTATATTCATTGCCTTCTATTGTCTTCGATTTTCATGTGCGCTTTAAGAATATTTTTAAAATCATTGTGTGTAGCGGTAATGTTTCATCAACCAATGAGTGCTTTTTTGAGAGAAAAACTATAGAAGCAGTCATGGAAGCGAAAGAGTTATTCAAACTGCATGATAGCTTTGCCGTGGTTTAGGTTTAAGAAATGGCTTACCTTACAAGGTAATAGCCAAAAACATGGATTACGACCATCGCTGAACACTAGAGTTTAGGGTTAAATTTAACACTGCCCTTCGAATTGGAACATATAAAGTAGTCATTGCTAAAAATAACAACAGCAACAACAATAATCCCAGTGAAGTCTCATAAGTGGGGTCGGTGGAGGGTGAGTGTACGTAGACCTTACCCCTAATTACAAATGGTAGAAAGGTTGCTTCTGAAAGACCTCCGGCTCACAAGAACAAAGGAAATGCATGAGAACAAACTCGTAAATAAAAATACAAAGTTATAGATAATAGGAGGAACTGAAAGAATGATGATCAGAATTCGAACACGCCGCGTTTTACTGGGAAGGATCGAACCATGGGAACGAATCTACAGGGCTATCACCTTCTTTGGCCTGATCTTCCAATCTTTTCACAATTACAGTTCACTGCGCCCGCTCCTTCTAGTGAAGGGCGGCGGCTTGAAAGCTTACCTTATTAGCCTTATTAGAAAGGAGAAAGGTTTCCTAGTTTTGGATTTTTCCGAATGAGTTGTTCGTTGTTGAACATAGTTCAACGTTTGAAACGAAATTCGTTGTTCGTTGTTCGTTGAACTAAATGAGTTGAACTATGTGAAACGAAATGAGTGTAACATAGTGAAACGAATCTCTGTACATAGGTAACATAGTTCAACTTGTAACTATGTGAAACTCATTCCGATAGATAATGGAGACAGATATCTAGAAAGTTTTCAGTGAGGGAACAAGCAACGGCGCAGCTAGCGCGTTAGCCGCGCATCCGTTTTCTTGCAGAACGCGCCCTTACGTTTGCTCTGCAGTACGAGCCTCATACAGAGCCGCGCTCCTTGAATATGATGAGAACCCGCCCTCTTTTCCGTACCAATCCTTATTTACTACTACATCTTTTTTTGGGTGTATAGCTCAGTTGGTAGAGCATTGGGCTTTTAACCTAATGGTCGCAGGTTCAAGTCCTGCTATACCCAAACCTACCTTACACTCTACTATGAAGAAGGATGCATAGTAGCCTTCAAACATGACTCTTTGGCCTTTAGACTCGCTTCGCCCTGGTT